ATAGTGCCAAAGACATTCATATGGGGTGTCATTTTACTCAGAAGACTTAGCTGAGCATAATTTGGGGGGTTTGAACTTAGTGGCACATATGAAATATACAAAACGCCCAGCAAAAATGCAATCCGTATGTAAAAAATGCACAAAATTATTTTTTACCACATACTTTGGCATATATTGGTGAAAAAATGGGGGCATGTTAAGGCACAATATGCACCTTATAAGATACCCTGGAGTGTCTACTTTTACAAATGGTAGGCCTTTGTGGGGGTTTTTTGAACAGTCAAACTGTTATAATACCCCAAAATGGAAGCTAAGGCTCATTAAATCCATCTCTCAAAATTCTACTGTGAATACTGAAAAGGACAGGTATCCTGTATGGCACTGTAACTTCACGAAATAGTGCAAAAGACATACAATGGGGGTGTCATTTTACTCAGCAGATGTAACTGAACACAAAATAAAACTTTGTACAGGAATAGCACACACCAACTTTACAAAATATACACGAGAATTTCTCTGTTATAAGTTTGTGTGCCAAAAACCAAAAAGAACACAATTTTACTCCAATATTTAGCAGAGGTTGGCGGTGAAATGGCTACGTAGAAAGTGTCAAAACAACCTTAGGTAAATAGCCCGTGATGTCTACTTTATATAAATATATACTTTTGTGTGGCAATTTTGTTTTCTTTTATGGCTATTAAGCTTACAAGACAAACATACCAAATTCTAAAGTCGCTCCACATTAAAAGTTTATTTTACTCCTTGTGCTTTGTGACCTGTAACTACCAAAAAAAACTTAAAATCCCAGACACATTATATATTCTGTAAATCAGAACAAATAAATAAATTTATTTTTAATTACTTTCCTTAACCTGCACTAATTATGCACACATTATTATTGCAAAAACTGTAAAAAAAACCAATATTTTTCATTTTTTTTGCATTTTTCTGTATTTTTTTTATAATAAGTAAGCATTTATATATATATATGTTATATCAAATTAAAGCCCTTTCTGTCCTTTAAAAAACAGTATATAATATGTGTCGGTGCAATAAATGAGAGAGATGCAAATTGCAGTTGAACGCAAACAGCAAGAAAATGCAAAAATTGCTTGTGTCATTAAGCGTAAGTCAAGCTTCTGAAGCTGTGTCCTTAAGGGGTTAAACTTAGGACAACATTTTAAATCTATTTAGCAGTTTTTTTCATTAACTTTTGTAGATGAGTAAAATATTTTTCAAGTAAAAGTAAAAGAAAAACATGTTTTCACCATATTTTTAAAAATTATAAAAAATTATATGACATGATACAAATAATGGTATGTAAAGACATTTTTTCCTGAAAAAAACAATACATAATTTGTATTGAAACAGTAAATGAGAGAGAAGAAAATTACAGCTAAACACAAACACCACAAAAGTGTTAAAACAGCTCTGGTCCTTAACGTACAACATGGCCAAAACAGTCCATCCTGAAGGGGTTATAAAGCTTATTATTATTTGTATTATTATGTTTACTATTTTCATGAAGGCCTTAAAGAAACAATATAGTGTTCAAACGCTGTATTCCTAACACTTCAGTTTCCCTTTGCTAACCCCCTGCAGTGTTCAAGGTTTGAATCAGTTAACCATGTTTTATTATTTTTGATAATCACAGTCAATTTTACCATGTGAAAGGAGGCTTCATATTTTGCATAAACTTCCTTTACTTACTCCATATAGCAGCAAAGACATATAGAGAAACAAAAATCAATCAGATGTAAGTATAAGGTATAATAAGCCCCTCCCACTGAAATACTTCCTCTTCCTTTGCTGCTCCATCACAAGTTAGGTCAAAGTATTTTGTGCTTACATTGCTTTTGACTTGACTACTGTAAATGTATAATATTGGTAAAATTATTTTTATTTATGGTTTTATTTACCTCTCTTTATTGTTTCCTCTGGTAACTTTTTTACACTGGGGCTTTGGGGAGGTTTCCATGGGTATTGGGTGCCCTAGTATTCCCTACTCTCCACCTTTTGTTCTGGGTTTTTCCCCCCTCCCCTTATTCGGCCCTCTTGTTACCATCCCGACACCCCGAGACCAGGTCCAACTTTAACCATCAGCTCCGAGTGCCGGGAACCCTCCCTTATGTGGCTACGTTCGCCACCTCCTTTGGATGTGTTTGCGGCGCCAAATGCTTTACAGCATGAGAGACCGCGTTCACGCTCTTTTCGCTGAGCACGACTTCAAAATACAATCACGTTTGGCGTGTTTCCTTTTCCCATTGGGTTTGTGTGTTTGGCCACATATGCGACCAGCGGTCGCATCGCATAGCGTTCAGTAGTTTAGTTTGTATACTTTCCACCAAAGTATTTTGTACTCCTACTTTTATTCCTTCCGTTTGCACCTTTAATTATGGCTAGAATTTCGCGGGCTTTCCAGCGGCTATCTTGGATCTCTTATCGCGAGATCTTGGATCTCATTCTGCATACTGCCTCCAGGGACCAGTTAAGGTTAGTGTTAACCTTTTGGGTGTGGGAAGTCACAGTTAGGTATTATACCCAGTAACCTGGCCCGGGGTGAGCCCCCATAATTAGTGCTGCCGAACGGGAGTTATGCACGCAATCTGGGTGAGCCCAGAGTGTCATATGCTTAACCTACTGATATATACGTGACTTAAACGCCATTGTGTGTCCCCCACCAGTCCCTATGCCTCACAATCAATATCTATCTTATACATACACCGGAGCGTATCATGGAAGATACGCAGCTCCCCACCGATTTGCAAGCCTTAATTAACACAGCTGTGACCATTTCAGTGGAAAAAGACTTGTCTAAGGCCCTATCCACAGACCTTGATACCTCCAAATAAACCGCAAAACATGCCCAATTCCAAGAAGCATCAGAAGAATCGGAAGATTCACCCAAAGCCCAATCCCATCCTACTAAACGCCACCGAAGTACCCCCTCTCAGTGTGTCCAATTCCTAGGGTTTCGACATAGACTCTCAATCCTGTACACTGCGACTACCCTATACGAAGATATCGGTCATACGCAAGGAGAGTCGCAAAATACTACACCAGGATGCAATTCCCCTCTGAGTTCTTGCACGCATCGTGGGACTCCTATCATCCTATCGATTTCACTATCAAGCCATGCAACGTTTGAAGGCTCACTACCTCCAGAAAAATCCTACATACGATCAACCGGTTCCAATGACAGGGGAAGTGCGCCAGGAACTCACATGGTGGCTCGAGTGCATTCAGGCTTGGAACGGTCGAGACATCTTTGGCACTCATCCGGAATTTGTGCTGGAATCGGACACCAGCCGATATGTCAGCCATTTGGGTGGCACACGTTCACAAACATTGACAGAACTTACGAATAGAGATGTCGCGAACCACTCGCTGAACTGTTCGCGAGCTGTCCGCCGGCGAACAATAGCGTGTTCGCGTTGGGCGAACATATACGATTTCCGGTCCGCCCCCTATTTGTCATCATTGAGTAAACTTTGACCCGGAACCTCACAGTCAGCAGACACTTCCTGTGAGGGAGGGTCTGCTGCTGATTGGCTGGAATGTGTCTGCTGACTGTGAGGTTCCAGGTCAAAGTTTACTCAATGATGACGAATAGGGGGCGGACCGGAAATCGTACATGTTCGCCCAACGCGAACACGCTATTGTTCGCCGGCGGACAGTTCGCGAACAGTTCGGCGAGTAGTTCGCAACATCTCTACTTACGAAGGAGATATTCAATTATTGTCTCCCTCGCAACATTATGTTAATGGCAGAACATCTCCCGGGGAACACCAACTTCACGGCCGATTGGTTCTCTCGCCACTGACGAAACAGCAACGATTGGCAACTGGATCTCCAACTGTTCACAAACCTAGACAGTCACAGGAGACCATTGACAATAGACCTCTTTGCCTCCAGCACCAACCATCAACTACCACTCTTTTACAGTTGGTTACCAGACCCAGAGAGTGTAGCAGTGGATGCTTTTCTGCAAACATGGCCAAACCACAGAGCCTACGCTTTCTCCCACGTTTGCAATGATAGCGAGAGTTCACCATCACATTCGCCTATAAAGAGTGAAGGTTCTACTTCTAACGTCATTGTGGCTGAGTGAGCCTTGGTTCCCGGACCTCCTCGCTCTCTCTTGCTAGCACCCTCTTCTCCTACCAGACGAGCCTCTACTTCTCAGGGACACGATGGGGAACCCATATCCAATGCTACAAGATGGACGCCTCTCTTTAGTGGCTTGGAGTCTTTCAGTGGTTCTAGCAGGTAGAGACCTGCTCTGAGACACTTGGGCACCAGGTACAAGGAGGTGTCAACTCTCTGGTTGGCACTACTGGGCCAATTTGAGTATGGGACAGAGTCTCGATCCCTTTACAGCCCCTGTCTCCTCTATTTTGAACTTTCTGTCATCTCTGTTCTCAGATGGTAAGTCTTACCGCTCGATCAACGTGGTTCGCTCAGCTCTCCTATGTCAAACCTTAATGCACCAGTTTTGGTTACTACCTTATCCTGGTGGGTCCGTTGGTTACTCTTTCTGGTCGGTATTGATCGGAGCTCACTCAGCTGCGTCGTCTGCCTTTACAGCAGGAGCCTCCTTGGCAGACATAATTCAAGCGGCGGATTGGTCTCAAGAATCTACATTCCGGACTTTCTATTTTCGTACTCCTTCTAATGCTGCTTTCCCACTGATAATATAGCATTAAAATTGCAAAATATGAAGCTTCCTGTCACATGGTAAAATGAGAGACTATGCTGGCTTTAGTGTACTGATTATCTTAATTTTAATAATGACAGGTGGTGAACACTCACCCCCCCCCCGCCCTAATTTGGATTGTTTAGGGTTAATAATATCCTAGCTCATTAGTTGGGTTTGACGGTTTCACTATTTATCAGGAAATGTATTGCTTAACCCATACAAACTTTAGTTTAATTAGTTAATTTACTAGTCTTATATAATTAATTTTATTCTATTTTATAATTCAAAGCATGTGGGTAGTATACTTATTAACTAGTTAGTGTAATGGTCATTTGTACTAAGATGATTAAAACCTCTTACATTCTCTTTCAGCTTAACTCGACACATCGACTACAACTGGTGGACTTCTCGGCATGAATGGTGTCTGTTTCTTCTATGATTGACAACCAGAATTTCCTCGTTCTTCAGGATTTTACTTGGACATTTTCAGTTCTTACCGTTTATACTGTACATTTGTTATTGTTATGCGACTTGTGATATCACTTTGACAAGAAGAAGTATCTCAGTGGGAGGGGCTTATTATACCTTATCCTTACATCTGATTGATTTTTGTTTCTCTATTCTTTGCTGCTAAATGGAGAAAGTAAAGGAAGTTTATGCAAAATATTCGCCTCCTGTCATTACTAAAATTAAGATAATTAGTACACTAAAGTTAGCATAATCTTTAATTGCCTACTCTGCCGAAATGCAGTGTTTGGGAGAGGGCTGAGCATGGGTGGCGACGGAACTGTAATTGTCGTGATCTTCCTGGTCTGCTTCTTTGTGTGCTCTGCGGTGATGTCGAGATGGGATGTCGGGACATGATGTCACTCATAGAAGCATAGAATGTGACGGCAGATAAGAACCATTCAGCCCATCTAGTCTGCCCAATTTTCTAAATACTTTCATTAGTCCCTAGCCTTATCTTATAGTTAGGATAGCCTTATGCCTATCCCACGCATGCTTAAACTCCTTTACTGTGTTAACCTCTGCCACTTCAGCTGGAAGGCTATTCCATGCATCCACTACCCTCTCAGTAAAGTAATACTTCCTGATATTATTTTTAAACCTTTGTCCCTCTAATTTAAGACTATGTCCTCTTGTTGTGGTAGTTTTTCTTCTTTTAAATATAGTCTCCTCCTTTACTGTGTTGATTCCCTTTATATATTTAAATGTTTCTATCATATCCCCCCTGTCTCGTCTTTCCTCCAAGCTATACATGTTAAGATCCTTTAACCTTTCCTGGTAAGTTTTATCCCGCAATCCATGAACCAGTTTAGTAGCCCTTCTCTGAACCCTCTCTAAGGTATCAATATCCTTCTGAAGATACGGTCTCCAGTACTGTGTACAATACTCCAAGTGAGGTCTCACCAGTGTTCTGTACAATGGCATGAGCACTTCCCTCTTTCTACTGCTAATACCTCTCCCTATACAACCAAGCATTCTGCTAGCATTTCCTGCTGCTCTATTACATTGTTTGCCTACCTTTAAGTCATCAGAAATAATCACCCCTAAATCCCTTTCCTCATATGTTGAGGTTAGGACTCTATCAAATATTCTGTACTCTGCCCTTGGGTTTTTACGTCCAAGATGCATTATCTTGCACTTATCCACATTAAATGTCAGTTGCCACAATTCTGACCATTTTTCTAGTTTACCTAAATCATTTGTCATTTGGCTTATCCCTCCTGGAACATCAACCCTGTTACATATCTTAGTATCATCAGCAAAAAGACATACCTTACCATCAAGACCTTCTGCAATATCACTAATAAAAATATTAAAGAGAATGGGTCCAAGTACAGATCCCTGAGGTACCCCACTGGTGACAAGTCCAAGCTTCGAATATATTCCATTAACTACAACCCTCTGTTGCCTGTCACTCAGCCACTGCCTTACCCATTCAACAATATTGGAATCCAAACTTAAAGATTGCAGTTTATTGATAAGCCTTCTATGTGCAACAGTGTCAAAAGCCTTACTGAAATCTAGGTAAGCAATGTCTACTGCACCACCCTGATCTATAATTTTAGTTACCCAATCAAAAAAACCAATGCCCCTGATGCTCCCACCCCTGCCACACTGTGGCTAGTGCACAAACCAGTTATTAGGGGGATACTATTGAGCAGGGCAGCCTATTTCCCTAGACGCGGAAAAGGCGTTTGATCGCCTAAATTGGCACTTCTTACGTGAAACCCTGTCGCTCTACAGCTTCCCACCACCCTTCCTATCAGTGATCCAGGCCCTGTATAGCAACCCCACAGCAACAGTGCTATCCTCAGGTTTCTGCTCAAAGCCCTTCCCGATCACCAACGGCACCAGCCAGGGTTGCCCTTTATCACCCCTTTTGTATGTCCTAGCACTAGAGCCCCTTGCCATAGCCATCCGCAATAACCATCGACTTTAATGGTGGCTTCTGTAGATTAACATTTAAAACATTTTTTTTCTAACAGAATGTAATGCATTTCTAATGCAAACAAATTAAATCAAGACATATATGTCTACAATATCACTAACTTTGTGAACGTGTACCTAGAATAATTCACCCTATTTTGAAGGCAAAGGGTGGTCACCCTAAAGATTGATTCAATTAAGATTTTTCTTCTGTTTTCTCAACTATTGATACAGTTGAACTATTAACATTTCTACTTTTTGAAAGCATTCTTACTTTATAGCATTTTTAACACCTGCCTAAAACTTTTGCCCAGTAGTGTGTGTACATCGGTGTGTGTTTAAATTAAATTGTGACAAACAAGTTGTTCTTAATTTAAAACATAATCTGCCAATTTAATTATAAAAGAACTACATAAAATAGTTACAGTTCCTACTCAAACAAAGATATTATGGTGAGTTGCCTGGGGCAAAACTTTATAGTTGTTTTCCAAATAAGAATTGCAAGTTTACTTTGAACAAACCAATTAAGAATAAAAAAAAAACTTATTCTGATTTAAACAATTTATTCAATGAAACTCAACCATTTAGTGAAACAAACAGGTATGTAAGAGGAAAAAGACTTGGTTTGGAACTGTCAGCCAACATGACGAGTTTCTTGAATACAGTTTATTGTCAAAAGTCATACACTAGCAAGCCTGAGCACAACAACAAGACACAACAAGGTCACTACCAGACAGACATTTCAAGACAGACAGGGGTTTCCAGATGTGCAGAATAGAAGAGTGAAGTCCAAAACACAATGCCTATCTGTGCTCATTTGCATATTGTAACCACGGCTAGTTCCCTTATTTACCACTATAATGTCTTAAAGCATAGAACTTAGTAGGGCAAACTATACATCTATCTTAATTTTATATAGCTAGTATAAGAGATCCTCTATTTAACATATATAAATAATTGAGAATACAATATAAAATAAGGATTGTCTTGGAAGCAATAAAAGTTTTGTCTTTTTAGATATTTATTATATAAAAATATAAATATAGACATATCAAATCCATATAGCCGAGTTTATAAGATTAAACTAAATGCTTGCAAATATCATTAATGGGTTAACATACCCTTCTGAACATGTCATCATGTCAGCCTCTCTGTCATTTTTAAGATGGAGCAGCATCTTTCTCCAAGTCTCTCCTCTGTTTCTTAACCTTTAAAAGTACACCTATTTATACCTTAGGTGTCTCCATTTTAGGGTTACCGTAGTTCATATATGAAAAAGTAACACTTCTTTTACTTTATTCATTTTAGGACCTCCCTTAACTTGGCAAAAATACAAATCCAAAACTAAAGGGTGTATACGTCATGGAAATTTTCCTGACTTCGGTCAAGATGGCATCTTAAAGTCTGAACATCCTTATCTACTAAGGTTACCACAGTATATTGTGTACTGAAAGAGTCATTGGATAGCCTTGAAGCTTGTTTATGCATTATTGTTATTGTAATTCGTCTGGGACAAAATGGCGCAAACATATTATGCACTGAGGTTATTGCTTAAAGAAACATCTATGAAAAACAATATGTTCCATTTTTAACACCTTGTCAGTTTGCAATATTTCTTAAAGACAAAGTACACAGTTTAAGAAATACAACATTTCATTCTAAAACTTGTAATATTTGCATTTGCCCTTAACAATATCAAGCTGGGAACTCTGGGAAACATGGTTTCCATTGTCTATAGCTTCAATGGCTATGGGCACATCCAAAAATGTGGGGTGAAGTCTTAACCACGATGCCCATCTCTGTTTATTTTAATGTCAATATTGGAATTCTGAGACAGTTGTAGAAATATGATTTCACTGAGCGTCTGTGCTCAAGTTGGACATTCCAAAGTCCAACTTGAGATATGCAGCTGATGCACTACAGCATTTCAGGATTAAAAGTTCCAATCCTGGTGACAAATAAAAAGTGGACTGAATGGAGGGTTGATTTTGTATTTTTTTTTTTTTTGGAATGCAAATAAGCAGCTTAAACCACTTAACTTAAACCAAATTTGATTCACCGATTTTGAAAGGTCTTGTTTACCAACTGTCTGTAGAAAGAAAATATTTTTTTTTTCTTTTGTAGTGTGATCAGTCCAGGGTGTGCTGTACAAGTGTATGAGCCATGTGCACTATGTGCTGTGTGTAGTGTTTCTTAGAAGTCAAGACCTCTATTTATGTAAATATGATGAAGTATTTAGGATTGTGTGAAATCATCTTTTTTTCTTTGGTTTTCATTGTATGTGTTGGAGCTGATATGTACTATGTAATTGCTACTGCCCGGGAGTAGTGGGAATTTTGAGTGCAGGGCTTAATTTTGCATGTTTGTATTTGCTTTTTTATTACACAGCCATGTTACAGTGCTGCTGCCCACCCCATGTATTCCCTATTAAGGGTTAAACCAGCACTGTCATGCCGAACTTACCTTTCTCCTATTGTTTCTTCTTATCTTCCTCTCTGTGAATCTGTTCTTCTTTTTCTCCTTTCTGATTTATTGTTCATTAAAACATAAGACAAAGTAGTTACATATTTTTCCTACGCTTGACCCTCTTTGGCCAAAAGAGGAGCTTAAGCTCTCATGAAGCCTCCAGTCACAAACATCCTGTCATACAAACAGGACTCCGGTGAATTGACTGAATTTCGTTCAAACTGAATGCCTACTGGTTTGTCCATTTGTGTTTGGATTAAATTTGGTCATTTTGTTAGCTTTGGAATTTCATTGGGAGAAAGAAATTCCGATCCGATTCTTGCCATGGCTGCATCTTGCAGTTGTTTAGTAGATAGCCAACTAATTTTCAAAGGTATTTCAAACCAACTCTTCAGGCAGATCATTGCACACACTTATTGTTTTTACTGTAAAAAAAACAAAACACCCTTTGCCTTAGACTAAATCTCCATTCTTCCAGTCTAAATATGTCGAATGTATTGGCCCAAAAATATTTTTGAATAATGCTATCATATCCAAAGCACCTTTTTTTCTAAACTAAAGAGATTTAAATTTGTTAACCTTTCTTTATAACTAAAATGTTAAATTTATTTTATTACTTTTTGTTGAC